TCAAGTAAGCAACTATTAAGCCCCCGTTTAGAAGAAATATGTAATATCACATGAAAGAGTGGTTATTGCCATAAAAATAAGATTCGTTCAGTTATTTATGCATCTACGTTTTATTGTAGACAGATAGCTTTTTGAAATCTACTGGTAAACATCTATGCGAAATTGAGATTGAAGTGTTCTCCACACTTACTCATACATAATCCATATGCTTTGTTACGTAATTTTGCAGATAAAGTTTGATTACCGTTTAGAGAAAATCGATATGCAAATAGTTACTGAACGCGCGCGTACATTTTCACGCGTGTTATTCTCTTCCTCTTAGTCTTTCTACATTATTGTCTCCCATTCCACGTAACTATGTATTGAGGGTATATCATTCAAGTATAAGGAGAATCGAAGAGAAAATAAGTTAGCAAAAAGACAAAAAAAAGAAAAAGAAGATTGACAATATTCAGCTTATATTTTTATTTGAAAACCAGCAGTATGGGGAAAAAGCAATGGTAGTTTTATTTAACCAAAACAAAAAAAAAAGAAAAAAAGAAAAGAAAAATTTTTTCTTCTTCAGCACAATCACACATTTCATATTTCTGTGTGGCTAATAGGAAGGATGTATGTAAAAAGAAATAGGAAATAGCTATTCGACGAAGTAGAGTAACGAAATACATACATATATGAGTTTTGAACTGACGAAATTCAAGAGTATCTGTCGTACAATTTTGATTATTATTTTAAAACAGGTCTCCATTCACGGTCTGTTGTTTATTTTGAAATTCGTAGGCACTGATCAAGATGAATAATATCCTAGCCACTTGGACTGAAGGTTTATATAATTTAACTGTATTACGAACAACCATGGCAAAAGTGTTTCAGATAGTCACTGATTTTTCTCGGACTTGAAGCACGAAAATTTCTTTGAAGTATATGCAATAAGAAAGTTTGTTCGCGAGCCGTAACGCGAGATCGAGAGAGAGAGAAATAAAATATAATGGTGCAAATGTTGCAAATTCTAGGGAGACTTCATGAAATCATAATAAGAAACAAACAAAAAAGATATATTGTACATATAAAAATAATTACGCTTATTGTATCTCTTACTTTTAGGTAATTAACTAAAAAATAACTGTAATTAATGTTGTTGTGGTAGGCGCACAGCGATGTGTATGAAAATTTATGAATTCGGGACGATTTTAGAGGAGGAGTAATAAAGAAATTTTATCCTGGATAGGACTTATTATTTTGTTAAGAACTTCACTCGCCTGTATATTATATAACATTTTGTGAAATCTAATTTCTGCCACATTTGTACATATTTTAGATATCTGATTATTTCTCTCGTTTTTCTCAAATTCACTATTGAACGTGAAGTGCTTTTTCACTATTCTTAATCATATATATATATATGATATACACATATATATACATATATGTAGGTATTTATCAATTTTTCGATTAAGCCGTATTTCCTTTTCGTTATTTCGTTCACGCTCTCGCATTTCTTCCTTTATACGTATCTTCGCAAAATTCAATTACCAAATGGCGAAAAAAATCTTCCGTCGTATATGGATTTTGAGAAGGACGAGTGATATTCTGCGGAAAACAATTTCCAAGAATGTACTTGTAAAAAACCATTTGTTTATTTTAGTTGGAACGCTTTGAACGAAATATAGTGGTACATGGATTTTTATATAAAATTTATTAATGTTAAAAATATTGACCCAATAGCCACTTTACAAATGAAACGTCGAAAATCTTCAAGGTTTGATCGCTCCAACCAAAGACTGAGTTCGCTTTACATTTTCTGATTTGGCAAACACGAAATTCCACTGACCAAAAGGCCGATGTTGTATCGTTGTTTCTCTCTCTTTTTTTTTCTTTTTTTTTCTTCTTTCTTTTAAGTAATTTACCATGAGCGAGCTAATTGTGGTAATAGAAGTATTTACTTAGCAATATTCACCGAATGTTTTATCATTAAGGGACAAATTTTTTTAAAGCTATAATTTCAAGAATTCGGTCGAATTTGAATCGTGAGACTTCGTGTTTACCCAATTTGTTGCATTCGCGGAAAACAATACTGTACCATGTAAGTAGGACTAAGCCAAATCAATGCAACTATTTAGAGCGATCGAACAAGACCTATTAATCGTTTCGTGTGAAAAAAAAAAAATTATTGAGAGAAGACATGAGCTTACAGATATAATGTTTAACGTGAAGCTCTTAAAAAAGCTCTGAGTGTTGAAAAAAAAACTTTTACGATAATATCGACAGGTGTCGAAAAGCGGTGTATCTATTATACGTGTATTTTATTCTGTGAATACAGTAGGACTTCTATGTCGCTGTGCGACAGGAAGATTTAATTGGAAAAAAAAAACGCTCCAACCAAAGCTCCGGTTCGAACGAATAGTTTGACGAGAGTATAGAGAATTTTTCTCAAGATTGTACAGTCGGAGAACGCAAAGGGAAGATATATCAAGTTCTATGTTATGTAGAATGTTTGATCTAGAAAACCCTTTAATTTGTTCTTCGATAACACATCATCTACTCTCTCGTCCCCTGATAACACCTTTCGCTGAATGCATGTATCAAATTTAATTTGGTCTAAATAAAATATCATCAGATATAAATTAAAACGTGAATTATATTTATTGCTTATAAACCGTCAAAGGTCTGACAAATAAAAATTAGGTACACACCTAAATTTTTTCGCATTTTCTGACATACATATATGCTTGGAACTTTTTAGTATGTGCTCTGTTTGCAATTATATAATAATAATACGCTTGAAATTCTTTGACCGATGGCAACAGAACAATATTTCGAATTAAATAACTGGAAATGCTTCTATTTCTTTGCATTTTCATATTGTTAGAGGAATGCAGATGTTATCAGGTAGATGAGTTGTTTTCTATGGTTCACATATGAAAATTTAAAGTCAACTTTAGCATTAATATCTATAATAAATGTGATTAACATTTCGATCTATTAGATATTGTAACTAATTGAATGCATATACAGGAAAGATTCGATAAGAGTTCGAAATTCCGGACCGCTGTGGAACAATTACGGGATGCGTACCAGATTTTTCAAACTGTTTGTGTTTTACCGACACCGACGGTCGTAGAAAGAGACAGCGGACAAAGAAGAGAGAGGTATCGAAAGTCGAAGCAGTCCTAAAGTATTAAATACCTACATATCGGTGAGACAACACTAATACAAAAGAGAAACTTTTTTATTTTTTGTCCTTTGTTGATCAAATTTTTACTAACAGATCCACCATATTTTTCTGATTAAAATGAGACCAAATACGATATAATTCGGTTTACAATTAGTTACTTAATAAGAAATTCCACACATACATATGTACATATATGTATACATACGGAATAAGTGATACTATTTTTTGTATACAATATAACGACGTACATATGTGAATTGTTTGACTTTGCATTATTTTTTAAGAAATGAATATGACCTTCAATTTTTCAAATCTATTTAAATTCCGTTTTTAACATATTAGTAAATTACAATTGTTCGCAAGCTGTTTGCGAACTGTTTGTGAAGAGTCCTGACTAGTGTAAACCGTAGTATAACAACTCCTATGTGTATTCTTATGTGTCCTTTAAATTCGTCAGAGGTCGAAAATTGTTTCTTACTCTCCGTTAATTGATCAAAGGCAATGCCGCTTGCGAACAGTTAACGTGTAGAAGACTGTCCCATTCGAGAATAATCGGATTGGTTCAGTTCTAGTACTGGATAACTGTTCGTATTCGGCACAGCTGAGAAACTCTTAATGGAGAGGCCCTACATTCTTTAGATGTAAACATTTTCCGACAGCGAAATGAACGTAGAAAAGGAATATTCACAAGCCCAATCGACACAACCAAGTTTTGTAACAATATCGTGTTTGGTATCATTTTAATCAGAGAAACCTCACCAATATTTTGATGAAATTTTTATTAACGAAAAATTGAAAATAACAAACTTTTGTAGTTTTGTTAGAATTGTCTCACGGATATGCCGCCACCGAATGCGATAAGGAGATGCTGTGACCGTGTCACATTAGTTGCTTGTCTGGTTCAAGGGTGGTCCCCCCTTGTGGTGGTGATAGACCATGAACAATTAACGTGTAGATCCCAACGAACTCTTATAGAATCTTTACTTTATATACACATATATACTAACCTATGAGTTGCAAATTAATTATTGTATGCTACTTGAATGCAACAAAAAAAAGATTGTCAGGATATAGCATATCACATGCACATTCTCTATATTACTTATATCAACAGATCTCAAAGTTTACTCATTGTTTTATTTGTCCATTCTATTTACAGTTAACAAAGTATATAAATCATTTTATTTTATAAAAATTATAAGTGCAGAAGAAGAACAGTACGTAGTTTCACTTTACACATACATACAATGTTAACAGCCTTGGTGTCACCCGAATCATAGAAGGGCGGGCATATCGCGTGCCGCTGATTCGTAATCTCAACCAAGCATGTCACACGCATACACTACCACCGCGTTCAACGGAAAATTCGTGGTGGTTTCGTATATCAGGAAGCGGCGGCATCGACTTTTGATGTGATCAACTGCCATTCCAAGTCGACGTTGCCTGGCACACAAGATTCATTTCGTTTTCGACCATACGTGCTGCATCCATGGTATCAAAAAGCATTAGACGAAACTCGGATGCCTTGATGACAAGTGACCAATCAGACCTATTCGATTTGCCGCCTTTTGATTTCTGAAGTAAGTACATATAGAGTGCGGTATAGTGCGGGCTCTCAGTTCGATAGTTGACGTGTTAAGTGTTTATTTCAAAAAATAAAGTGTTTTGTGGAAACGTAATACTTTTTATGCAATGTTTTTTATACAAGACATAAACTATTTCCTGAAGTAAAAGTAGTTTTTATAAAGTGTTGGTATCAGAATAAATTCCGGTATTAAATGTTAGAATTCCGAGGTTAGTTTCAACAGCGTCGAATTTACATAGAAAATTGTGATATTATAACAACAGCAGAACAATGTCACAGCAAACACGAATTGATCAGTTTTTTAAATCAGTTGGTACTAAGTATGCATCAAATTCTGTTAATATTAACAATAATGGAAAGTCAAAAAGTTTGTACACAAAAGAAGTATATACACAAAATGTTAGTGTTTTTATTTCTTTTGATAACATAAGTTGACATTTCTAAGATATGTAGAATATTTTACATGTAATTGATTTATTTATTCTATTTTTATAGAAAATGGAAAAGAAGAGTAAGAAAGCATGTGTTTCATTGCCACAACATACTAAAGAATTTGACACTATACAGGATTGTTTGATTATATATGAAAAGATCCATAAAGCATATGATGATACTTCGGAAAATGATATAGAAATAATTGAATGTAAAGATGTATCAGTGTTGGAAGAAACCTCACAAAATATACTTGATGCAAAATGTATACCATGTTCATCATCAGAAGCTATTACAATGACTAAAGTTAATGAAATTTGTTTGGAAACACCAACACATATATTGAAGAAACCAAGAACTTCTAACGAAAATAACGTTTCATTAACAAATAATAATAGTCCTCCTACACCAATGAGTTCAAGAAGTAGTTCTAAAGTAGCATCTGGTAGATCTCCAGAAGCTATTGTAAGAAATAGACCATTTAGTGAAATTATAAATGAGATTGCAATTCAAGCTATTGAAAATATGAATTTAGCACAGCAAGGTGCTATTCCATTACATAATTTCAATTTAGAGGAAATTTATTCCAGAAGTACATTTAATTATCAATATAATAGTATAAATAGTCAGACTTCACTGAAGTATAAAGTAAGTGATATATATTTATGCGGTGATTTACATTCACAAGTTTTACTTGCTACCATTTTCAGTGTATTTTCTAATCCTATTAATTGTGGTTATTTTGATGAAAGTGATTTGGACTTTATATATTCCATAATCACACTTCCTATAAATGCTCAAATGTTATTAGCTCGTATGATAAAAAGGAAAAGATCATGGTTTAGAAGCAGTAATATAAAGTATCCAGAAGTAGAAGAAATAAGCGATGTAAAAGATGCTTTTAATGTTCTTGTTAAACAATCTATTTGTACATTTGATATTAAAAGAGAAAACTTATCTACAATACTTGAATTATTGCAAGTTGATGAAATTCGTCATGTTTGTCAGAAGATGAAGATTCATTTTAAAGGAAATAAAAAAAATAATATACAAAAACTATTGCAATTGTCAAAAAAGAAACCTTTGTTTCCTGGAGTAAAGGGTCCAAACAGTTCTTTGTATGCTTCTATCTTTGATATGCTGGGTTATTGTGTATGTATAACTAGCAGAACATGGGACATTCTATATAGAATCATAGTTTTATTAATACCAAATGAAGATCCAAAAAATACTATTGCAGATATATTTTTTAAGTTACGTAAAATTTATTTAGAAAATATGATATATCCAAATATTCCTGGACATTATTTTCCAGTATTTTCTAACAAGTTGCATTTAATAAGGTAATCTGCATTTTTTGTTAATAATAAACGTAATTGTTTGTAATTTTACTTATATTATTTCTACTTGTAGCTATATCAAGGTCAAATCTATATTGTCTGCAACATTACACCATAAGGAACAAAAAGATTGGAAGAAGGTACAAAGCTGTGGTGATTCAGCTATGGATACATTGTCTAAATTATTAAAATCTGAAACATTAAGGTGAGTTAAATTATTTTAAAGAATAAATTTCAGTAACTGTAATATAAAATTTTGCAGATTAAAACATTCTGTGCTTCCAATACATGTACAACGTTATATGCCAGGATACGTATGGATAAAAATACTTTCCACATGCGTAGATGCGTTTAAAAAAGATAAAGATAAAAACCGAGTGGTGGAAGTCTTAAATTTCTTATTACAGCAAAATTGTTATATGAATGAATACAAAGGAAGGTGGTATAGTGAATTAGCCTTAATTGAAATGTTTTACAATAAAAATGACGAAAAACTTATCTCAATTGTAACCCATGCCTTAAGCACAGAAACTTTGACACAAGTAGATAAAGTAAATCTCATAGAAAGGGTACAGAGAATTGTTAAGAAGAAAACTGCAGGACAATCAATTAAAAGAGCCTCTATAGATATATTATCAAGTAATATTTCTGAAATGCCCAAATATGAAACTGCAACCATTACTATAACTGCTGCATCAATGTCTGCGTAAGTTTAATCCATGTGTATTATATTTTTCCTCAACATTAAGTAATGTATGTTACAATTTCATATAGGTTTAGAAATTCTGCTGGAAAGAAAAGTGTTTGGTGTATAGAGAATAACACTGAAGGTCAAAGTTTTGGGTCAGTGGAAACTGTTGCATTACATCATTACAAACAACATGGGTTTCCTAATGGAGTGCATTGTGAGGGTGCATTACCAATTATTTTATTCTTTACTCTGTTCTGGGAAGAATTATATAGTATACATGTTCCTGGAACATTTGTAACACCATATCAAGAGGCACCAAGTGACTTATTTACGATAAAATTTTATGAAAATAGAAAAGAAAGAATAGATACAAAATTTCAGATTATTGGTAATTTTAATGCTGAATCATTTGCCTCTTGGATGCAAGAGAAATTCATAATATGTAAACAGTATCAATCATTAATGTCACAAAATCTGCTGTATGTAGCACAACTAAAGGTAGATATTTTATTGATATATCATATATTATAAAATATAACAATATGCAGCCAAAAATCATTTT